GAGCTTCGGGACCGTCGGGAGGCGTGGGGGGGCCGGGCTTGGGCGAAGCTATGGATGACGGTGCGTGGGGGCAGGATGGTGTGTTTTACCAGCGGGGGGCGTGAGGCCTGGGCTGGCACGGCGCGGTGTGGGAGGTTTGGGAGTGGGGTTTCCCCTGTGAGGTTTGTCTCAAGGAGGGGAGGAGGGTGTTTGGGGACGATGTCAGCCACTTGCTAGGCTAGCCATAACCACAGAGAGACCTCCTGGGTATAGCGGTATATCAGCGTGCATGAGTGCCTTGTCTCGGATTATTCCTTGCAGCGATCGGCTCGTTCTGGATACCATTCTTAGCTGTTAAGGACGTACGATCTGCGATACCGGCCAGCAAGAGATCGACCTGTTTCGTCACCGGCGCGTTATGAGATTTAGAGGTGCTTTGTTGAACAGTCGAAGATGCACCGCATGGCGTGGCTTAGAAAACCCCCAAAAACCCCAAAAACCCCAAAAACCCAAATCCACGGCAAGAGCAACATTCGTTCTCCTCACGGCCACACGAGGTTACAGACCCACTAGTCAATCCACGCGAGAGTGGGGGCCAATCCCGGCGGTGACCTGGACTTCTGTACTTTACTTGAGATGGCCCTGGCGTGCGTTTCACCCACATTCTAGGCCGTGACGCGGATCTGGACTTGGATGACGACGACGACAGCCTGGACCTCGGCATGGACCCGAATCGCTTCGCCTCCCGCTGGCAGCCCAGCGGCCTCAAGCGGCGGCGGCTGCTGGGCTTCTTTGGCGGATCGGGCGGTCCAGGCGTGGAGAAGGCGCCGGGAACCACCGCAGCTGGCGGCACCAGCGGCGAGAAAGGGGCAGCTGTGGCACCAGGCGCGCCAGGGCGAGCCGGGGCCAACGGCAACGACAAGGGGGCCCCAGGGCTGCGGCCCTTGCGAAAAGGCGACAGGTAGGATGGGCTAGGAATAAGAGGATGGAAGGCATGGATGGATTCTGCCGAGTCTCCACCGTCCACTTTCTGGCTGCTTTTAGCAACATTGCCAGGTTCATTGTTTCGTCAGGATAATGCTCTGATCCTAGGTTTCGGGAACCCGGCTTGTGCTGCTTTGTGAGTTTACGTCTCGTCCGCTCATCCTCTCACGCGTGTCCCGACTTTCTCGCATTTGCTATCCCTCCACACGCGGGCCTTTTCCCTATCTCCGATCTTAGTACACCGTTGGAGCTCCCATGTCCCCTTCTTGCTTTCCCCCGATCCGCGCCCCTCCTTCCTTTTACTGCATTGCGTTCAACTTGCGCACCCTTGCTGGACCACTGCATCGCAGGGTGCGCTTCTGGGGCGCTGGCGGAGGAGGCGGCGGCGCCATGGGGCCCACTGCCGGACTACCTGGCTCCCTCAGCAGTGCCCTTCTGGGTGGCTTGTCTGGAGGCGCCCCTGTGGGCTATCTGGTCAGCGCCATGGGCCAGAGGGCGGCGGCGAGGGCGGTAAGCAGGAATCTTCTTCTCGTCTTCTCGGGGAATTGGGGGGGTTATAACGAACCCAGCTGGTTGAGTGTTAGGGCTGCGAATGGGGAAGGGGTCTGGCTTTGCATGTGCTTTTGGGGTGTGGGTTTCTGATGTGCCGGTTGCATGTTGGGCAAGAAGGGGAGGGCAGGAAGAGGCGTGGACTGGACGACTGGATAATGCGCATACGTGAAATTTTAAGGGCGGCGGTAGTCATGCGGCCCTTCGGCCAGGTGGGCTCGTTGATAGCCACCATGATGCCTGGCCACCAGTCCCGTCCATCGGTCCGCTTGCCCCGGTTACTCGACTCCGTCTTTACCTCCGCAAAGTTTTCCTCGCGGCCAAAGCCGTTGTCATTGTAAGCCCTAGTTGCCTTGCCAACCACCCATCCATCAGGCTGGCGACGCAGCCGGCGCCGGTGCTGGCAGCTCCGCCCCGTCCGGAGCCGGCGGTGCCCGCGGCCCAGCTCCCGGTTCCGCTGGCCGCGTGGTTCTGGCCTTTGACGACAACCCCAAGAAGGTCGGCGTCCGGTTCGATGCGCCCATTCCTGGCGGCCTGGACCTGGGTGGCGCGTGTGAGGAGGGTCACGGGTTCTTTTGCTCATCTACGGAGTTGCTATTGGAGGGCAGCCGCCAGGACGAAGAGGCGGAAGGCGCTGCCGTGACGGCGCTGTTCGAGCTGGCGGCGGAGGTGGCGACAAGCGGGCCCGTGGTGGTTCACATTCAGGTAAATGCGGTGCGGTGCGGTGAGAGGTTGTGGGGAGATGGCGGAAGGTACGGCAGCAGGAAGCGAGGGGGGAGGGGCCGCGGCGTGAGGAGGATGAGTTGGAACAACGAGCACCAGGACTCGACAGAGACCAAACTGCTAAACTGCGGGAGGAGAGGAGGCTCAGAAGTCGGGAGGGTGAGGAGGGAGGAGGGACAATAACCTGGTCGATGGTGTACAGGGTGGTACGCCGGGTGGCGTCTGTCTATAAGTGTTGGACGGCCGGCTAGATAGATCAACGCGACGTACGATAGGGGGAGATCAAGGTGGATGTTACTGATCAAGCACTTGGCTGTGCGTGTTTCCCTGCTCCCTCACTTTGGTGTCCATTTTGAATGTCCGCGAAGGATGCGGAACGGGTTGTGGTGGGCAACTCGGAGCGTTTCAACCGGGTACGTCGGGTGCTGGACTCGCTGCCAGCGGGGGTGCTGGTGGTGGCTTCGCATGCGCCTCGCAGCGGCGGCTTAGGCCGCGGCCTGGGAGGCGGCCTGGGTGGCGGCTGGATAAGTGGTGGAGGGCCCAGGGTGCACGGCGTGATGGAGCCCATGCTGCTGCTGGATCCCATGTTTGGCAGGTGGGAGCGGGTGGTGAGGTGATGGCGTGCGTGTAGGGACGCGAAGCGACGCGTCAACACAGGAAATGGTTTCCCTCCAAAGATTCATGGTGGCCGTGCGCTGGGAGTCCTCAGGCCATGGATGGCGGAGAGGCGTGTAGATCCCGCCTTATCAGCCGTCGGGTGCTTTTGAGGCCTTGCCTGAAACCAGTCCACGAACTTGTTGCTCGACAGGCTTTTTTGTACACAGCTCTGCGCGCGCAATTTCGGAGCGGCTGTACCGTTCGCTGACTGATATTGGAATTGGGACGTTAAACGTGTGACGTATGGCATCCTGGCATAGGCTCCACCCGTCCCTCCTTTCCATCCCATCCCATCCGCCAATTCCACCTACGATCCATCTGCTCCAAAGGCTGGCGGACAAGGTTCGGGGCCTCGCAGGGTCTGATGACCCACGGGACACCCGCTCCGTGAGGGCGCTGCTCAAGGCCTTCCCCAACCGCATCACGCTGCATGCGCCCCACGGCGAGCCAGCCGCGTCAGAATGGCGGGCAGCGCTGGAGCGCGATGTGGGCACGCTGCGCGAGCGTGCCAACCGGCGGGCGCTGGCGGGCCTTATGTCACGATGCGGTATTGAGTGCGCTGACCTGGACGCCGTCGTCATCAGGTTAGCGTGGCTACCACGTAGGGTCCCCGTGTCTGAGCGAACCCCTCGACTTGGGCCAGGACACTACTCACAACACCGAGCTAGGACGTCCCGAGCGCACACTGCCTGTGGGGAAGAGGTCCGCTCGCGGTCAGGTTAAAGCAATCGCAGTTAGGCTGAAAGGTTCCCAACCCGATGGCGTACCCGACATACTTTTTACTGGACATGTCATCCGGCAGGTAGGGCAATGCTCTTACCCGATGCTCACCCATCACTGGCCCACTACCCTTATCCGGCCCTTACCCCCCCAGGGACCAGGCGCTGTCGGCGGAGGCGGCAGAACGGGTCGTGGGCTGGGCGGTTGCGGCGGCGGTGCAGCGCGCATCTGCTGGCACTGCGACTGTTACTATTGCAGCCCCCAGCGCGGCAGCAGGTGCGCCGGCAGCTGGCCTGCCTGCCACGGCCACCCAGCAGGGCGACACCTCTACCACACCACCAGAAGCTGATGCCGTCGTCGAAACTGCCGCTGCCTGCGCTAGCGGGCGGAGTGCGGACACAGACCAGCTGCTGCGCGGGGGACAGCTGCAGGTAGGAAGGTACCTGGGTGCGGTGTCGACCAGGACCTGTCGTAGGGGCATGTATACTCCGAAATTTTTGCAGTCCCCACATCCGCTCGGAACAGCGTTCTGCACGGGCGCGTCCGTCCATGTACGATTATTGTTCCCCGGAAATGCTCGTGTCGTCCAGGCACGAGGTTGGAGCCATGCGCCCCATTTAACCAACTGGAACTCAGCTCCCCCCGTCCGCTACGCCTGGCGCAGGTGAAGGCGGCTGACGTGACGTCGGCTGTGGCCACGCTCAAGGCCCTTGCTGCGGAGCGTGTGCCGCCGTCAAAGCAGGGCCTGCAGGTACGTGGTGTGCTGCAGCTGATGGAGCGCCAAACAGCTTTTGGCCGTACGTGGTGGTCGTTGCAGAGCAGCCGTGCTCCTGCCCGTTCCGTGCTCTCCTTCAATCTTTGGAGATTCCTGGCCGTTCGTTTGTTCGTTCGTCCTTTTCCCCATTCTTGCGCCTTGCCTTGCCGTTGCCACACATGCCTGGCTGCTGACATGTGGGCTCACGTGCAGTGGCTCGTTTAACCATGGTGCGATGATGCATGTTGCTGTCTACTGTCCGTAGGATGTGCAAGTCGAAGGCGAGTTTGAGAAGAAGCTCCTTGCGGAGGTACGTTTGGGAGCGGCCGTAGCGCGCATAGGAGCTTTAATGGATGTGGAAGATGAAGGCGGCCCTCTGATAGTGGTCTTCCACCCGAGGCCTTGGGCTTGGTGCCAAGCATCGACAACACCTTTGACCAGACCAGACGATGATGACCTGGCATTTCCTTGTATGGCATGAAGTGGGGTTGTAGTGGTGTTGAATCATCTCTCGCGTCGTTGTTCTGTGAGACATGGTTGATGCGGCTGTGCACTGAAGTAGATCTGGTTGACCCCGGATAAGGCTGAGTCCCGCGCTGGCCCGCCGCCGGTTGGGGTTCTTGCCTTGCTGCAGGTGGTTCCGCCCGAGGAGCTGGGCGTGAGCTTCGACTCGATTGGCGCTCTGGAGAATGTCAAGGAGACGCTGCGGGAAGTTGTCATGCTGCCGTTGCAGAGGCCGGAGGTGAGGCGGGAGGAATACGGTATGGCATCCCATCCCTGATTTCCCGATCGCCCTTTATCTCCTTGATGTGACTGCGCCTTCCCCGCTTGTTCTCCTGCGTCCAGCTCTTTACGCGGGGAACCTTGACCAAGCCGACGAAAGGAGTGCTCCTGTTTGGTCCGCCGGGAACCGGAAAGGTGGGTTGGAGAGGTTCTCTTTACTAGGGGGCTCGAGAGCTGGATGGGGCCAGAGGATGGTATGGATGCCAAAAACCGGATCTGTTCTGCCGAGGGGTTACTTACCTGCATCCGATCGGTTCTCTCGCCAGAAGAGCCGCCGGAAGCACGGCCGTCCCGAATCCACCCCCTCGCCGTGGCATACGCCTTTCCCTTCTGCATCGGGACCTGGGATTTTACACCTGCTCTCTGTCCTCTCCCTCTCCTGTGCAGACAATGCTTGCCAAGGCTGTCGCGTCGGAGTGCGGAGCGAACTTCCTGTACGTCAGCCTCTCCAGTGTTACTTCCAAATGGTGGGTGGATGGGTGACCTGATGGGCTGCAAAGGCGACCCGATAGGAGGAGGAGGCGTTGCATCGAAGTCGCCGTGCTCGACCTCCCGGATGCGGGTTCTAAAAGCGTTCGGAATTTGTTTAAGCTTTAACTATCTTCCTGTGCGTGCGCTTTTAATGCAACCCTTCACAGGTTCGGTGAAGCGGAAAAGTACATCAAGGCCGTCTTCACTCTGGCGCACAAGATTGCCCCTTCGGTCATTTTCGTGGATGAGGTAAGCCCTCGCGCGCACGGGAGGCTGGGCTAAGTGAGCACGTGCTGCCCGGTGGGAAGCGTTCATGGCTGCATGACGCCTGGGGCCACCTGCTTCCATTCAGGGTGCACTGGCCGCCCACGTTGGCTTTCTGGTAGGTTTTATCAGCTGCAGTTCTGTTAACGTATGGGAGAAGTGAGTGGCTCTGGCACACCGGCATGGGCGCTACTACGCGGATGGTGGGCATTTATGTGTCCTTGCAGCTATCCGGGGCATGTACCTTTGCCCTGTTCGATGAAAGAACTAATGCCTAGGAAAACACCGCTCCAGACGCGGGAATCGTACCCAGGTTTGGTCGACAGCTAAATGCTAAAGCACTCCGGTCCCACAACGGGTCCCTGGGACTTGCTGCTCCCAGCCATCGCAACCCCGCGGCCAATATTGCACGTCGTGCTCGACTCATTTGTCCTGTTCCCTTGCGCTGCCAGGTGGATTCGCTTCTGGGGAAGCGCACGGGAAGCAGCAGCGAGCACGAGGCAAGTCGCAAGATGAAGAACGAGGTGAGTGTGGCCTAGTAGAGATGTGACTCGGCATTTAACGGCGAGTGGATTTCAGGGCTAGCCTTTCACATAACCCTCATCATCCTGCCAACAAAGGTCCGAGTGAACCTTCGTTGTTGAATATCGGTTATCAGTTGGGGCCGATCCTACATTGGCAGCTTCTGTTTGTCGTCTTTAGTCCACGTACTTGTGTCGGGTACTTGTCGTTTTGAGTTTGCTCCTTTCGCGGTAATCCTTCCTGCTGCGAGCCTGCTCGAAAATGTGCTGCTCCCCGCCGCTTACTGATTGCAGTTTATGGCTCACTGGGATGGCCTCAAGACTCGGCAGAAGGACCGCGTCATGGTGCTGGCTGCGACAAACCGGTGAGTGGATAACACATTGCACGTGCCTTCGGCTTAGGTGTAGCCCGGCATGCTCAACTTTGTGCCTTCCCGGCTGCCTCTAGGCCCATGGACCTGGACGAGGCCGTCATTCGCCGGATGCCCCGTCGCATCATGGTGGACCTGCCGGACTCCTCCAACAGGGTTAAGATCCTCAGGGTAAGCCTACGTCTATGATGTGGCCTGGCCCTGGGACTGGGACTGGGACTGGGGAGTGCAAGCATGGGGTTCATACCGATAACTTGACGCACCTCGGGGCATCATCGCCGCGCTGCATCTCCTGTTGTGCTGCACGGAATTTTGCGTTAGGTGGTGCATGCGCGCAAGTGAGACGCAACGGCATGGAGCACGACGCGCCACACAGAGCGATGGCGCCGCAACAGCGGCACACGGCTCAGTCACAAACGCATACTCCGCATGCGGGTGCCCTGCGATGCTTCTGTCGCACCTCCGTGCTGTGTGTATCGGGTTAAGCGTTGCAGGTCGCCGCACCAAATGATGTGTCGACAGGTTGCCTTTGCTCTGATGCAATCCAACACATCGCGCGTATCGGATGCTATTCCGCCGGTGCGCTGTTGTGTTTTTTCAAGTCGCTATGCCGCCTAAGTGCGTTGGAAGCTGTTGAAAAACCCCGAGCGCCACCCCATGTTGACCCGAACAACACCAATACCCCCAACTCTGTATCCCTCGTGGTACTTCAAGTACTTCGAGTTCAAACAAAACCAAAGAATAAGGAAGTGACTTTAACAGTGGATTGTCGCCGCAGGTGTTGTTGAAAGATGAGAGCCTGGATCCAAGCTTTTCATTGGAGGAGCTTGCGGCGCTAACGGAAGGGTACAGTGGCTCCGACCTAAAGAATATGTGCGTGGCGGCTGCCTACCGCCCCATTAGGGAGCTCATCGCGGCCGAGAAGGCCGCGGCGGAGGCAGCACGCCAATCAGTTACGACTGCCGAAACGGCCGCCTCTAGTGACGGTTCGCACGCAGCCGGACAGATGGCTGGGGAAGAAGCACGCAGTGCTGGCGGCGTTGGGGTGAGTGCAGCGGGTACCCCAGTATTACGGGAGCTCAGCCCCGCGTTATGTACCGTGCCGGCAAGGGGCCCAACGCGGGGGTTGGTGGCGCCGGTGGCGCCACCACCTCTGCGGCCGCTGAAGCTGGTGGACTTCAAGGCAGCCATGCAGCAAGTGGGTCCGAGCGTGGCGAGCGATCAGGGCTCACTGATGAACGAGCTGCGGAGGTGGAACGAGGCATACGGCGAGGGCGGTAAGCGCAAGGCGGACACCCTGACATATTTCCTATAACATCTGCGGATGGTAGGATACGGACAATGTCGGCGGGTGGTTCGGCTGAGCAGTCGTCAGTTTTCTAGCAGCGTAGCTTGGGGTGCAGGCGGTGCAGCCCCTTGACAGAAGAGTTGATGTTTGGATAGGATACAGCCTGTACGGGGCACTTTTGTATGATTAAAGCTGCAAGTGGTGTTGGCGTAAGATGTGCTGAACTACAGTCGAACGCGAGGTGGCGGCGAATGCGGCGCAGTGTAATTGCCACTGTTTATGACACCGGTTGCGGTTGAGCCTACAGGACCGCGAATGCAGGCAGGGCGAGGTGACCCGACCGTAGGACTAGCCAGTAGGAAGCGTGAGGCGCTAATGACTGTTAGGCTTCCTGTTGTATGTGCAGCCCGGCTATAACTGTTGTGCTTGACGAACGCCCAGCTAGCTTGTCTATGCAAGCTAGTGTCCATCGGCATCCGATGAAAGATTGATGTGTTTGGAAAGGGCGAGGCTAGTGGAAACCCTGTCCGTCCTGTCTAACGTCCTGCCCCTAGGCAGGGTTGGGTCATCTATCACACGTTAGAAATGCGGGCACTATTCAGTTTCTCAGGGATCCTCCGTTTCCGTTTGCAAGGTGTAACCCAGACGCGTTTATGTGGGAACATTACAAATGAGGCAGCCCGGTCTATTACGCTGTATGCTGTCGTATGCATTGTTGTGATGCAGCGCGTCGATGTACTTTGTGACGCTGGTAACTCTGCAATGAGTTGGCATTCTCACCAAACACAGTCAGCAGCACACAATCATCCATCTAATGAAGGGCTCGTCTATGTGACAAGAGGTATGAAGGGCTCGTCTATGTGACAAGCCTCCCTACGTTATGCACGCATTACGATAATGCTTGACAGTCGTCGACCAAAAACGTACATGGCAACGTGTGCCTGTGTGAGGGTAGGGGTTACATGCAGTATGTACCTAGTGGCGTACGGCTACGTCGTTACAAACCTCGCCTATCAACTCCATGGCCGTGGACTCTAGGAAAGCCCCTCCACATGAGAGAGTTTGCAATCCTGATTTATGCCTGAAACTTTGCCATATAAGAACGTAGCGACGACAGCGGAAGCGCGAAAGCCGAGACCCAAAGCAAGGTTACAGAGACGGCAAAGACCCAAAAGTAGGAGGTGGCTGTGATGCAAGACGTTGTGACCAGAGGCGCAAGCACGTGCGACAGCTTTGGAATCGTCTCCAGTAAGTTGACACCCAAATAAAGCTAGACAGGAAAAAACAGCCCCCAACCTGGTTGCTGGATTAACTTATGCAGTTGCGTGTTGGCCCGGAGTTGCGGGGTGTTGAATTTCCGTACTAGTACTGCGGACAACATTGAGCACTCTGAACCGCCACTACTGCAACTAAACTACCTTGCTTATGTTTGTTGGCTTTGAATTAGAGGTCGTAGGGTGATAAGAGTGACGTACATGGAAATTATGCACATACTTGTGGAGGTGAAGCCTTTTCTACAGGCAGTCTGAGGTGGCCTAAGTGCCTAGTTGGAATAGTTATAAGGAATAGTTATTATAGGAAAGGTTAATTGCAGGCTTTGAAGCCTACTTTTAGGTACAACACTGCGACCTGGGGCCAGCATCGGGCGCTTGTTCGGGAGATAATGGGCCAAGGCCCTTCGTCGCCTCGTCGACAGTACGAGGAGGCGGGTCGTTTCTCTGCCGAGCTGGGCGGTGAGGGGCTGCATATTTCAGGTGCTCGCTGAGAACTGCTCGATGGCTTGGCCTAAGCTGGGGATGTTGTCCTGGTTTTACGTACAGGCAACATGCAACCTGTTTCTACAGCTGAAAGCGTACGGATAGCTCCGCTCTCCGCAGCTGCCAGCGTCGGTCCTGCGAACATCGCAACGTCAACGCGACCAGCATCTCTATCTTTGGAGGCAAGCATAGAAGGTATTTAAGTTGATGTGTTGCCATGCGTTGCTAAGGTGCTTTTGGCTTTTTTGCAGGCTACACCGGCGTCTTCAACGGCAGCAGCGAGCGTGGCTGCTCCAGCATCGGGTTCAGCAGCAGCAGCAGCCGTCACAGCGGCAGCACCAGCAGCACCTCAACAACCTGGTGCTTCTGCTCAGCATCAGCAAGCGCAGCCGGTTCAGCAACCTCAGCAAAGGGGGACCGCGCATAAGTCTACTGCGCTCATTCCGGGTTGGTCGCGTGCTCTCTCCTCGCAAGCTTTGCAGCTTGAATGTCAGAAAGCTCACCAGCCACAAAGGACCAGTAATACACGTGATACGTACGCGGTGTTGGAGCTGGAGGTTATGAAGTATGTGGCGTACTGCGGTGGTATTACGGTAAAATTTCGCTTGGATGACCTACATTATGGGCCGGTCGAGAATGTTACCTGGGGCCTGGCGTCGACGCGTGCATGTCCGGCGCTTCAGGCCGCCCCGCTGGCAGCCCCTCAGGCGGGCCCCAGCACGGCCCCCGCCTTGAGCACTGCTGATTCTGGCACAGCACCCTGCAGCTCCTCTTGCGCCCCCGTGCCTCCGTCTGCTGGGGCGGCAAGTCCTTCGGTGAACCCTGTAGCAAGCGTCGACTCTGTAGTTCCTCAGGCTGGCGCTTCATGCAGCCCTGCGGCTGGTGCTGCAGCTAGCAGCGGAGCCGCATCCACCTCGTCGCCAGCCGCAGCTCCAGGATCGCCGGTGGGCACGGTCAAGTCCCCTGAAAGCAAAATGAAACAGGCTAGGACGCAAAATGCAACAAGCCTGCCGCAGCCACCCGTCACTAAAGCTCCTAGCGTGGCCGGCGCACCAGTTGATAGTGTCTCGCGCAAGCCGCTGTATATGATCAGCTCTACCAGCACGCACCGGACGGTGGAGCCTGGGGACGTGTTAAGTTTGGAGCTAGCGCCCAGGGAGGATAAACAGCCAGTCATTATGGCGACGCTCAAGCTGAACGAGGTGATGCTGCTGCAGTCATCCCTGCCTTGCAGCATCATATCATCACTTCAAATGTATCCTTTTGTTACGGTGTTGCCTGGCATGTCAGTCTCCCTACACGAGGCCACGACGCCTAGCCCGCTGTACACATGGTACAGTCCCACGCCCAATGGTGCGCCAGAGACGCAGCTGTGCGAGCTCGACACTTGCGTTAAGTACCACACGTCCGCCACAACACCTGTTAACCTCAGCGCCCAGGGGTGCGGCACCAGCGTAGAGTTTCATGGTTCCACAGTCTTCACTAGTGGGCGACATCGCTGGACGGTGCAGCTCGATAACTATGGGCCTCATCCAACGCACATATATGTGGGCATAGTGACATCCTCATTGGACACACCTACTTCAAATGGTAGCAATATATTGGCAAACGTGGGCGGCCCGCTTCGGGCCCTGACCTCCGGCAGCATGGGTGCAGGTGCGTCTGGTAGTGCAGCCGGCACGCTGTCGCCTTCTGCATTGCCAGGGGCAGGTGGCAGCATTGCCGTACCAGTTTCAGGCGTTCTTGGAGGCGTGCGAATGGTGGGCACAGGACATGCTGTCGCTTCAACGTCAGTAGCACAAGAACCGGGGACTAGCACGGAGAATGGTCTGAATCAGGCGTCATCGTCAGGCACGAACGGCGCAGATGCCACGAAGTCCGTTCCGCGCCCTCAGGGCAAATGGGGCGCATGGATGCGGCTGCCAGGTGTGATGGATTGTTGCATATAGAATGTAGCGGACTGGAAACGCGCAGTGCAGGCGGATAAATGATGACCCACATCGTGCTTCTGGCATGCGGATCCAATCGGGTTTGGGTCACTCCACCTTGGCTTTATTGCGGCCGTCCACTCAAGTAACCTGCCGCTTAAGGGCGTGCATGGTGTACAGTTGACATCTAGGGCAGGCCGCAGGTGCTTTGCACCAGCTAAGCCTGACTCTTGGATTTCAAGGTTTTCATACTGCTGCTGTCATTCATTTGAATTCGTGGCCCCTGTCCCGTCGCATTGCTAGGCACAAACGCCGCCAACAATGCAAACCCTTCTCCACTAAACGTGCCACCGCCGCCGCGCGATGGGCTGGCACACATGGCCGAGTCGAGCTCCGCACACTGCTTCATCACCGTCGACCTGGATTTGAACGCGGGCTACGTGCGATTCTTCCGCAATGGTCACCTCATCGTGTCAGCATTCACAGGCGTGACGGCACCTGTGTCGCCAGCCATAGCCTTCGTCCAGGCGCCGGGCCTGCATTGCCAGGCGGGTTTGGTCAACCTCACAAAGCTGCGTCAGCTTGACCTGCGCTGGAACAGCGAGAACTGCTCCGGAGATCTGCGGCTTAATGGACACAGCGTCTCGAAGGTGTCGGAGGTGTATGGCGACTATTCTACCGTCCTGGCAAATCAGGGTGCGTGTAGCATGGATCCGATTGCGTTGTTAAAAGCTTGGTCTGACTTGGAGACCGGCATAATTTGGACACGTGCGGACCGGCCAGTTCGTGTTTCTTAACAAAATCCAAAACGGACAAGGCGGCTTTCCCAGAGCATGAGCTGTATACCGGGCATTGATATGTGCTTCCTGATGTTCCGTATGCGCACATGAATTCCCTCTCAGGATTTATATCCGGTGTACATTTGTGGCTAATAAAGGTCAACAACTTGTCGGAACCGGACTCCATTTTCATCGGTGTTTGCCGCGGCTGCATGCCTTTGGACCAGGATCCCCAGGTATATGAGGGGAGGAGTACACGGTGGGAGGAGTATACCGTCCCCATAGCTGCAGGTCTGCATCAATCTCGCTGCTTTTCCAAACTTGCTTTCCGGCAGCAAGGCAGAGAAACATGCACACTCTTTGTTCATGATGGCAAAGTTTTGTCCCCTCTTATGCCCGTAGACCATTCTATCATGCTTGCGGCATACTCACTGGGTATTTATGCTTACTTGGGACGTGGCCCGCGTTGGGAATGGGCTGCCTCCACAGGACCTGCGCGACCGGACTTATTACCTTTCGAACGGTGTCATTCGTGTGGGGGGTCGACGAGTGGGCACCAACGC